CAGCACGGTGATCAAATGCACACCCGTTTTGTGGGGAAAGATAACCTAATTTTACATCTGGGCCAGAATCTGTTGATGAGCACACATGGGCAGAGCAGCAGAGGTCCTTTCCAGTGTGCTTTCATATAGACTGTACATCTAAACAAGACAGTTTCTTTCTAAGTCCCTTTCACTTTGCAACTTGACCTTTGCCACCAGAGCAGTTTAGGTTGTTTACTAGCCTGGACTATGCAACATGAAAAACTTCTGGAGATATAAACATCAGAGCGAGTTGCAGAGCAGTGTCCTTTGGCAGGGCGGGTTTGTTTATTTGCACATTCTTGGGGACCACAGCAGTTCTAAATTAAAATATTTTTGGCATGCAAGTACTCTTTAATTACCTGGAAGTAATGAAAGTGAATGATTATCCAACCCCAAACATACTTGACTCCTTTGATTTCTGAGTTCACCCTGAGTTTTGATGCTTCTATTTTTTTTTTTTTTAATGTAGGTTTGAGCCAGGCATGGTGTCTAGCCTAAAATATGAGCATTTGGAACATGGGTACTGGAGGATCACCAAAAGGTGCTAGCCAGGTTGGTCTTCACAGCAAGTTCCAGACCAGCCAAGACTATACAGCAAGGCTCTCTTTCCCAAAACAAAACAAAATGAAAGACAAAAGATGCACGCTAGAAGAAAAAAAAAAAAGTTTAAAGCATTGTTTTCCTTCCTGAGTAGTAGTTGCCTAACTCTAACCCCTTTAGAGTTCTGCAAAGGGGCAAAGTGCATGGCCCACCCAGAGAGGTGTGACTGGGTGTGTGTGGAAGGAAAGGACTCTGAGAGGAAGCTATTTCTAGGCAAGGATCTTCTCCATGGAAAAAATAATGTTCACTTCAAAACATCTGCTAGAAACTGTTATATTGTAGTTTAGTCTTTCCCAGTGGCACTAAAGGCCCTTGTTCCTTGGAATCTACCTTCCCAGTGACTTAACTGGAGCTATAAGTGGCTTTAAATTGGCTGGCCCCCTTGTTTGGGAGGATGAAAGGAAGGACTCACCTAAAATGCTTTTCTTCTCATAAAAATAGCATTTCCTGGTCAGATTTCCAATTTAGGACCCATTAAACAAAACAAAAAGCAAACTATATGTTTTTAAATCCTAGATTCTCCGTAGATAGCAACTAATACTTCCTCAATATGTGACAGATGCTAAATAAGCTACACTTAGCATCTTTCTTGTGTATCCTGGGGATTGCTTCTTACTTGGTTTTGTTTGTAAAGATGGGATCCACCTGTAATCTAGACTGTCCTTAAACTAAACAAGTATTCCTCCTCCTATGTCCCCAGTGTTGGTATTACAAATCTGCACCATCTCCCCTCATGAGATACATCCCTAACAAAAGGTAGGATGTTCTTCTGAGTCAAAATGTGTACAAAATAGACGGGCAAAACATTTTTCCAGCTATCTTCACTGTCATTCATTGCTTTTTCAACTTCTCTAAGCTTTCTAATATATGGCAACGCCAAAAGTGATATCATTTCTATGGTTCTAGCATTGCAAGTCTCCTGGACTATGTCTGCTCAGCTGATGGAAATGGGTGGGGATGAGGAAGATCCTTGGAGGCTTTGGAGAGGTTCACACAAAATACAATGTAATTGTAGTGTAAGATACCACCCGATTGCAATTTAAATTTTACAACACAGGGGTATATGCAGAAAAAATGATCACTAAGGCTCCATATTTGACACTATTCTGTGACTGATACCAAAAAAATAAAAAGAGGGAGAAAAGAAAGGGGAGAAAGGAAGGCAATTAGAAAGGCAGAGATTATAAAATTCTTTGGGGTGGGGGTTAATTTTTTTCAAGACAGGGTTTCTCTGTGAAACAGTCCTGGCTGTCCTGGAACTCACTCTGTAGAGCAGATTGGCCTCACAGAGATCCACCTGCCTCTGCCTCCCAAGTGCAGAAATTATAAAATTCTATCTAGAGTTGTGGAAGTGGCTTTTCGTGTTTTTTGGTGTGGCTCTCCTTCCAACTCAAGTTGATTTTGGTTCTGTATTGTTTGGGGGGCTTAGGATTGAGTCTCAGACCTGTCACAAGCTAAGAACTCTTTCTATCAATCTATCTCTTCTTCCCTCCAAATTGAAAACAGCTAAATTGCTATGTATCAAATAAATCATGAATAAAGTGTCTCTTATTATATGAGTATTTTTTACCACGTTCTCACCTGCAGTTAATTTGTGCAGGTTCTACATGGATAGGCAAAGGATTAGGTGATAATATTCACTATATAAAATAATTGAAATAAATTCTGAAATGTAATAATCATGCATACTTTGGTTTTTTGAGACAGGGTTTCTCTGTGGCTTTGGAGGCTGTCCTGGAATTAGCTCTTGTAGACTAGGCTGGTCTCTAACTCACAGAGATCCACCTGCTTCAACCATGCAGACTTTGGCCTCAGGAATTTTGTTATTTTCAATTCAACAAATGATGAGGAGTTCATGATGCTCAGTGTTAAAGGTGTTAAGCACTTGCCCAGTGTGCTTGAGGCCCTGGGTTTGACCTCCAGCAATATACAGTCCATGCACACAACACATGAGATGAAGATAAAGCCAGGTGATTGGTTTTCATAAAAAGCAAATACTCTTGTTTCTCTTAAGATCACCTAAATCTTTCAATTTTTGCAGAACAAATAACACTTCTATCTACATCTGAGTGATGTTGGAAAAAGTTTAAGTACGGCACTCCTGATTCTAAGCCACCGTCTGGTGGCTTATCTTTGCTGATGGAGAAAACACATTTTTTTTTTTTTAGAGGATAAAAGAAGTCACATGTAAGAAACAAAAAATGAAGTAGTTCTGTTTCCTGGGTGTTCTTTGACTTCCAGTACTTGGCCAGAATTGTAGTTAAGTTGAGTCAAGTCCTTGTTCTTCCTCACCATACCATTCTTTACTCTTTCCTGTAAATGATTTTCGAAGCAGTTTCAGCTCCTGGGAAGACTATAGCCATGGGGGAGGAGGGATGCTAAGTATCTACACATTTATTAATAACAAAAAAATGTGTCTTTCCCCTTTGGGCTCTTTCCCAACCCTTGTGTTACAACACTACTAGAATTAGTAATAACAGCAAAGATTTTTGTTTCCTTCTATGAGTAGGTTTTTGCCTAGTTCTTGTAGGAACCCAGTGACAAGAGTTTTTGCCTTAGATGCTGAGGGTAAGCTGGCCAGTAAAGTGGACTAGTTTTCAGGTCCAGTACTATGTTCCACTGATGCTTTGGTGGGACCAAAGGGCATTTGGTGGTGAAAGGAACCCCAAACCTGCTCCTTGCATCCCTGAAACTGTTCATCAGATTCAAAGCCAAAGGACCATGTCACTCTAATTTAATGTGTGCATATGTTGGCCAGCATCTTGGCCGGTTTTATGAGGTTTCACTGGCAAGGTCAGAGGGCCTGATGCTAGTGTTCTCATGAGGATTAAGGATTCTAATGAATCATGTGACTGTGAATAGACCTGGATGGTGGTCATGTTTAGGAGACCTACTTACCCTCCTCCCACTCTTGGGCTTTCCACCCTGGAGGTCTCTTTCCATTCCCAGAAGGGAAGACTGGTCTTTAAGGACCAACCAAAGAAGAGGCACTTGGAATTTTAAAATGTGCTTCTCTTCTGCATGTTGGCACAGACTATTTCTGAAAATGTGCACCTGGAATGCATTTATAATATGAATACAGAAGAAAATAATTAAATTCAGAAGTAGAAGTGGACCTGCAGAGTTCATCTGGTCTAGCCACTTGCATGCATATCATAATATGTTGGGAGATGCTGGTGGTACTTGGCCAGCAAGTCTCATTAATTAGTGAAAATGGGAGTGATGGGTTTCTCTTCCTTCTGTGGGTAGTTATTTCTAGGGATCTCTTGTTTATTAAAGATAAACAAGAGGACGATTAGGCAGAAGATGTTTTAAAGGGGAGGCATCATAGAGCACTAGGTGGGAAGAAAGAAATTCTCATCTGGGGGTGAGATAATTAAACAGACCTATCCCCACCATTTCCTGAATGTCTTTATTCTGTTCCAAGACAGCTATTGGAGGCTGTCTACACACTACACATACTTCATGTTGTGTAATATTTTCCCAAGCCAGCCAGGAGAATGGATTGTTCTCTTCTGGGGAAATGGAAAGGAAAGCAGTTCTAATGCAAACGTGGTGGGTCTGGTGACAACACAAGCATGGGCTTCCTTTAAAGCCCAGGGTCGCTGAGGTGGGATTGGGACAATGAGTCTAGAGGAACTGCCAGACTAAGCCAACTATGTACTGCCCCTAGGATGGAGAGAGGCTGTAGGCCTGCTAGGGGACTACAGTGGATGAACAAGAGATCTGTAAGAGATGTGAAAAGATGAACCGGCAAAGAGGAGAGCTCTGGAGATAGCTTAGATCTGAACTGAGGCTTCTGAGTTTCTAGGGCGCTACTGGGGATGCCTGGATATGCCTGGCTGTGCATCTGTATATAAGGAGGAGCCACCCAAATAGCTTTGGTTTTGCACAAATATTTTCCCCTATGGATAGGGACGGAGACTCTAGGTGCTCTGGCTTTGGAGGGGAGGGACACTCAGAATCAACAAGACAGGGCAAACAAATAAATGAATAAAAATTTAAAATCATCGAAGGAACTCAAACAGCCTGCACGCACCAGCCTTCCATGATTGAAGAGCCGCGTGCTGGCTTCAGTGCTCCGTTTGGAAATACGAATAGAGTCAGATCCCATATTACACTCCGGGGACAGAGTTTTAATGTAAACGTAAAATATGCTTGTAATAATCACTTGCGGGCCCTGAAGCGCCACTAGAATCTCTGTTTAATTATAGGGCATGAGAGGAGTATTACTAGCTAATTAAACCCCATCCTATTTGCAATTCCCCCCTGTGCTGCTGCCGACTTTTAAACGCGAAATTGCTCTTTTTAATATGAATTTTAAAAACACGAATGAGCTAAAGTGAGAAACAGGGTGAAAGGGGGCGGGGCAGAAAGGAAGAAAGAAAGAAAGAAAAGAGCCTCGGGCCCTGGCCCAGAGTCAAATGGGCATCTAGAGGAACGTAGGCCTGGCCTTCAGCGGGTGCTGCCAGGAGCCGCTGCCTCTGAGTTCTGAGGTTTCTTCGACTTCCGCTTTCTTCCGCGAGGAATTCCACCGCGCCCCAAGGCGGGGGCCAACAGCCCCTAGGCCGGGAAAGGAGCGAGGGGGGCCCCCCGCCGGGAACCAGTGCCCGCCGGGCAGCCGCCGGAGGCCGGAGCGGCTTCTCGCCGCGGAGAATGGAGCGGCGCCGGAGGAAGTGAGCTCACCCTGGAAGGAAGGAAAGCAGGGAGCCCGGACCCACGGCGCGGCTTCCAGGCCCCACGCGCGCGCGGAGCTGGAAGGCCAGGCCGACTCTGGGGAAGAAGCTGCGAGCTCCCGACTCGCGGCCTCGGCCCTCAAGGAGGCCGGTTCGCCCAGGGCCTCAGATGCAGCCGACTCCATGGGACTTGTACGGTTGGTCCTTCGTGCTCCCTGCGAGCAGGAGCGCCAGGTGTGACCTTGGAGATTCAGTCCTGGGGAAGGAGGTCGGAGGTCAGCACAGCGCGGCCGTTTTTTCTGGCCTGCCGGCCCTCAGCGTCCCAGCTTTGTTTCTCATTGTCCTTGGGCGTCCCCCTCAGCCCTTCCTGGTTTTCTTCGCGTTGCGGGTCCCAGAGCCTCGGTTTGCTGTTGTTTGCAAGAGAAAGCTAATGACTAGCGATCATTTGACTAGTGACTGAGTACTTGTATAACAGAATACTATGCTTTGGGAGTGAGTCTGTTTTCAAACTTGGTACCCAATATACAATCTGTAAGCAAGCATCTGTATTCTGGCGCAGTCTGATTAAGTCCTTGCTGCGGAAGCGCTAGACAAACTCTTCAAACTGGTCGAGGAACAAGAGTGCAGGACTGGTGCTGGTCTCTTAGGGAGGAATTCACTTCCTGGCTTCCTCAACTGAACATGGAGTAGTTGCCTCTAGGACCTTGAGCACATGCATGCATTCATATCTGGAAAGAGGCACGGTTATCAAGGGATGCGGAGGTTGAGGTTAATTCCACTCTGCACCAGGAGAATCTAGCCTAGAGCCTATTACTGTGGTCTTCCATGCAGGGGTGGGGAGGAAAGTGGTGTGCCCTTACCCCTCCCTTTCCCCCACAAACTCGGAAAAAGTCGCACCTCTCAAGCATTGTTGAGAAGGTGGGAGGTCTGGCTCCCTCTATGGCCTGAGACAGGGTTTGCTGAGTCCCAAGGTGGGAAAGTCAGAACCCCCTCTCTGTATATTAGAGGTAGAGGTATTGTTGTCAGAATGTGAGCGAGCCTATGTCTACAGGGCACAGCCTGGGCAGCCAGGTTTGGGGACTCTAGATCTGGGTTTGATTTGAGACATTTCCATAACTTTAGGATCTTGGCATCCAGCTCTCACCTCCCCCCACCCCACCCCCCACCGCCGCCTCTTGCAGAAGCCTCCACACACTTTCTGATCCTTGCTGGTTTGATAGGATGCTTAATAAGATGGGTAAAATATTGTTTTCATCTTTTATACACGTACATGCATAGCAAAAGACAGAGCTGAAGAGTAGAGGAAGCAAGACTTTACCCCCAGCTGTCAGCAGGGTCCCCATCTGCCATGAGAGTGCTCTTAGGCCCCTTTCCTCTCTTCTCTCCCCCTTTTCACCCCCCCCACCATTTGCCTTCCTGTTCACTACTCCTGGAGCTCCACAAAGGGGCTTAGGGATTCTGGGTCTTCCAGGCCAGCCAGAGGGGCCCTGCTGCCTGCTTGGAAACTCTCCATTTTCCCACAGTATTTCACATTCATATTACTTTTCACACCCTGTTAGGCAGTAATAGCACTGGACCTGCTAAATACTTCCATGCACCAAGCCAGGCCTCCCACAGCACTCCAGATCTCGGGGTTGTTCTTTCAGCCTTGAAGACCATTGCCTTCCTCTCTCCTCAGACTGACCACCCTGCCCCAGCTTAGAAACTTGACTTGGTGCTGGGCACACAAGTCTAGTGAGTCTTTTCAAGGGGTTGAAAGGGTCAGACTTAGGAAGACTTGGGGACTGGTGTGGCTTCTCGTAATAGCTGACATTAGATGGGCAATTAAAAAAAATAACAGCACTTGATTGCCATGAGGAAAATCCTGTATCCTCTCCCCAGAGGCAATCAACAAACAAACAGGGGATGGAGCCTGAGCATCTTAATTAAGTTTGTGGCCATCCTTTCCCTTCACAGGCACCAAACCCTGAGAGTAGCATTTGGGCACCAAGGGTGCAGAATGCAATGTTCCCAAACCCCTATTCTGTTCTCCATCCTGTAGCCATGAGGCCTCTCCAGCTCTAGGGGTGGGGCTGCTCTTTAAACCCAGAGGGAGTGAGGAATAGGGGTGATTAGGTCTTCTATGGCAGTGGCAGTCCAGGAGCCCACCTGTGGTAGATTGGACCTGGAGAGGAACATCACACTTCTCTATCCTAGCCCTCACCTTCTTGGGGCTGAGTCTGCTTCTCAGTAAGTCTGGTGGCCACTGGACTTCAGTGCAAGACTGAAGGAAGTTAATGATCCTTCATAGCTCCTCCACAAGCCCACCTCAGTTCTTCCATCTGGAGGAGCAATAAAACCTGCCCACCCACCCCCACCTCCAGGACATAGAGGAAAGGAACTAAGTTTTAATGAGCGCCTATTAAGTGCCAAACATTTTACAGGCTCATGTTGTTCAATCTTCACAAGCTACAAGGAGGACATTTCTGAATCCTTTATGCCTGAAGGGACACTGCAGTCCAAAGAGTATAGCCTTAGCTAGAGTCAGTGCAGTTAAATAAACTCCCAGCTTCCAAGGACAGGATGACTCTGAGAGTCTGGTAGGCTAGGCTAGGTCTCCTAGTCACATGTGAGGACCTTGAAATGCTTTCTGTGAGCATCTTCTGCTCACACCTGGAGTGAGGCTAAAGTGGGACATATTCTCCTAAGCACTTGAAGATTTGTGAAGCATTTTAAACTGTGGTCCCCACATATGCTCTAAAACATTCACAGCAGAGTCATTTATTTATATCTCTCATCAACCAAAGAAACCCAGAGCACAATGGCTCCATAACAAGGTACTTTTTTTTTTCTCTCCACTTCCTTAGGGTTTGAGAAGATATACAATCAAATTTATTGGACTTGAGTTTCTGCCTCTGCCATTTAAACTGAGCCCAAAGCTTCCTCTTCAGCCTGGGGCAGGAATGGCTCAAAACTGGGGAGGCCTATAAGGCAATTAACTTACTTCTAATGTACAAATGCTACCTCAACATTTCTTCACTTGTCATGGCCAAGAGTTTTCTTAGTAAGGGGAAGGGATTACCTCCCTCCAAACTGGGAAAGGGCAGAGTGCTGAGTGGGGGGTTCTGGAAGCAAAGCCCTAAGATGCAGATGTGGTGATCTGCAAGTTTACCTGCCAGCCTTCATCCAGCAGTAGCTTCAAGGTGTTGCAGACATCTTTCATATCTAAAGAGGGTATCTCTGGAGATAATGCTTTAAGTTCTGGGTTTGAGGAATTTGTGAAAAGTAGGAGGGGTAACAGAACATGAAAAGCTAGGAAGCAAAGCAAGTATATAGGCCTTCAGAGAGAAGCAGTGTAACATAGGAATTTCTTTTTATTTTATTTTATTTTATTTTATTTATTCTTCTCTTATATACAATACATCCCAAATACAGTCTCCCCTCCCTCCACTCCTCCCAGTCTCCCCCTTCCAGATCCACTCCTCCTCCATTTCCCTTTAGAAAAGAGCAGGCCTCCCAGGGATATCAGCCAGACAAGATACAATAAGACTAGCTACAAACCCTCATGGCAAGGCAGGGTGAGGCAACCCAGTAGGAGGAAAAGGGCCCAGGAGCAGGAAAAAGAGTCAAAGACACCCCCACTTCCACTGTTAGGAGTCCCACAAAAACACCAAGCCAACAACATATTTGCAGGCTCAGTGACTGTTGCTTATGTATGTTGTGAGCTCCAATGAGCCCTGCTTAGTTGATTCTGTGGACAGTGCTCTCCTGGTGGGTGACATAGGAATCTCTTGAAGGAAATTATTCCCTCTTATTTCCATTCCTACAAATATACAGTCCCTGCACAACTTTCTCCATTCTCTAGCCATCAACAGCCACTCTTTGACTTTTTGAGGTCTCACATAGCCCAAGTTGGTTATGTGGCAGAAGATAACGACTAGTGAATCTCCTGCTTACAGCCCACAATGGGAGGGGTGGTTTACAGACGTGCTGAACTCATCTTCTGTTCTTGGCTTTCCTGATACTGATATTGAGGAAGATCCTCAGAAAAGAGGAGGCAGAGGAGGAGAGGAAATAGAACAACTGGGGGCCTGGGGAAATGAACCTTACTCTTCTGTATATCTGGGGACATGAACAGTCCTGGAAGCCATACTCATTTAGGTTGAGCCACCACTTTCCCCTTGTGTAAAAAAGGTGAGTGTGTGTGGGGCGGGGTGCAAAGACTCTGGGCCTTAATTATTCCTTTAGCATTAAGCCAAACCTAGAGGAGGCTAAATGAGTGGTTATTTAATGGGACTTTCTAATCACGCAAGGCTATGATAATTCATTTTATAGTTGCCGTGCTGAGAGGAAATATGGTGGTTGATTTTCCTCAATTCACGGCGTTGATACTCTTAACTCGGCGGTGACAGTTAAAAGCTAACTGGCAGACAGGTGGGGATGTACTTTAGGAAGCTCCTCTAATGGTATTCTGTGGAGGGTTCTGCTGCTACTGGCGGTGTTAACTGCAAAGGTAGAAGACCCAAGGCCCTAGAACTTGCTTGCTAATTTAAATTAAGCTCGGTCTTCCCTCCTTCAGATTGGATTCCCAGAGAGACTCCAACTGTCTGGAAACTAAAAACCGAGACCACCAAGAGGGAAATTTAAAGGAAAGCAAGAAACCATGGAGAGAGGGACCGGCAACGGGAAAAATTGTCCACCACTTTTGAAGGACGTGTGGAATTTTGCATAGTTCCCACAACACATTCTGACTTTTCTCTATGTACTTCCTAGAACCCATTTTCCGTGTTCGTATTTTGAAGATTTTTGTTTTGTTTGCATATTCCTGTAAGTTGTACCGGTTGGCAGTAGAAGGGAAAATCTGCAGCCGAGCGCAGACTTGGGTGGGGAACGAAAGCCCTGGCGGCGCCCTGGGTCCAATCTAAGGCACTCCCCTCCTGGCTACCGCAGGAGCAGGCTGAGACGCCGCCCGCCTTTCCGAGCCTGAGCCCCTGGGCTGCTGGCCATGGGAGTAATCTGGGCCAGAGTGATCGTACTGCATTTATTAACGACCAGAGAGATTTCTTAAGCCAAGTCCCCAAAGAAAGGGATCCAAATGAGTAAAACAGTTGCAGCTCTGGCTGTGGCCAAGGCAGCGAGTCGGGGAATCCCGACAGTATTGCTGCTTCATAGACATCTCCTGGGTGTAGGACAAGTGATGGTCCTTGGTGGGCTCCGTGCTCTAGGACTCCGGCGTGCGCGGCTGGAAGGTAATTATTTGAACGACTAAACTATGCTACAACCGGCTGTGGAAATT